AAAGCCATTCTATTCAAATGAATTTTTAAAATAGTTTTTTATAATATGGCGCCAGCTACAGAAAGAATTCCAACTCAGTCACTATCAGTCTATTAAGTATAATGTTATGATGTAAATAAAGGCTCTTGAACATGTGACTGATACGTTTTACTGGATCCTTGACTACCCCTATGAAGAATTGAGTTAATAGTGGGAAGAAAGTTCACCAAGCAGCTACTGACTTATCACTGTGTATCCAGTGAAATGAAACTATTATGTGTGCTTCATATTAATCTTATGTTTTCAATAACACATCATTAATAAAGGGAAGTTTAAGAATTTTTCTGAATAAATGGTTGAGTTCCTCAACTTTACGATGTTTGAGTCAATAATAATAATTAGTAAGTGTGAACGACAACTTATTTGCATGGGAAACTTGTTTCTGAAAAGAATTCAGATCAGTAAACAGGTGCATATAACACTCATGATTTTTTATGAAATAGTAGTCCCAGAAAAAGTTAATGAATTAGTGCCAAGTGTAATTCCATTATGGGTAAATTTTGTTTTGATAAAGTCTCACAGTGTTATACAGTAATGTTTACTGATGACGTTTCGAGCACAATTTATTGCTCATAATCATATCATATCGAGCAATAATTTGTGCTCGAAACGTCATCAGTAAACATTACTGTATAACACTGTGAGACTTTATCAAAACAAAATTTACCCATAATGGATCACAAGTTATATTCTTATGTCAATTAGTGCCAAGTGCTTCACAAATTAAGAAGCTCAATTCTAAAAATATTGTTGTACTTTAGACATAACGGTTTCAATCAAAAAAGAAAATCCATGTATAATGCATATAATTGGTGGTGAAGCGAAATTGTAGTTCAAGTGGATGATATTAGCTCTCTGAGCTAAATAACTTAATTGCTAAGGTTTGATTATCTTTCTAGACATTAATTTCAGCACCAACTTTAGTAAAAAGTGAGCTTTTAGTATTTGCTATTAATATAATAGCCTTTTTCCCCTGATAACCCTCAAGAGATTTGCTTACTCACTTGTTGACGAAGCAATTTGCTGAAATTGTCAAAGATACGGAAAAATGTCTCGTGTTTTTTTTTGTTGATATAAAAGACTGTAGAAATATTAATCTATGTAGATGCGTTGAATGGACTTTTTATAAGCTGACAAGCTAGATTTAATAGATAGTTAAGGTGAGTAAAGTTATCCTCTAGCAATAAAGAAATCATATCCCCACTGAAAAATTTTGTTTGTCTGCAAACAGACGGTAAATATTCAATCCTTTTGGTTGTCTGTTTGAACAGTATTATAATATAGGGAGTGGAGTTAGCCGTTTATCAAGAAATCACAGGGTTCTTTCTATAGAATTGTTATAGTTACAACCAAGTAATATAACTTTACTGTAATGACACATTAAATACTGAATTTGTTTAATTCAATTGATAATCATTGTCAAACGTTGTATCTAGTTAACAAGAGAAAAGTTTTGTTTCATAACCTGTAAGCGCTTTTCACTGTAATTTCTTCTCATCCAGCACACCTATGTTATTGGTGATATATTAGTGACCATACTGTTTTCCTAAGCTACTGTGACAGCTTGATAGCACTTTCTAATTGATGATTTGTTTTGTTTTACATTTGTCCTAGTTGACATTACCGAATGCTAGTCATCAGTAATAAAATAATAATAATAATAATTTGCTTTATTCCAGAAACAGTACTAGTGGTACAGTGTGGAATTTTCAGCACATATCTACAATATTTGCATCTAATTTTACGAACATTTAAAAGGAGTATTAGACAAACAAACAAAAAATAAAAATAAATCTAAAGACACCAACAGCAAAAAAAACAACAACAGGATAAACACAAAATAATTATAAATGCGAAAAAGTACCAAGAAGTAGAAAGGAAAATAAACATCATATAATAATAACTCAGTATTGGGTAGTGGAAGCTATGATATGATTATGCATGGTGACAGTAAAGCTATAGTCATACAAGAAGTTATGAAATGATATTTAAGAATGTTTATCGCCAAGATGGTCAGTTAATTTGATTGAGACAACTCTAAACAATCATAAAATAACATTTCAGGGTTGTTGTTTTGTTTTTTATTGTCAGGTCTAATGCAGTGTTTGTAGTGGTAGTGTGAGTAATCCTGCATAATACAAAATTTTTTAAGGTGGTGACTATGGCGTTCACAGCCAATGATTGTCAGTTTAATATTGCCGAAAAGTATAGAAAGTAAGAAAAAACAACCACAGAACTACTAATTACATGATGGGTAATGACAGGACAATTTTGTAATACTCATAGTGCTAATAGAGTCGGGACCAGTGGATACACAATAGAAGGAATATAGTAAAGTACAAAATAGGAAGCCAATGTTAATAATTTAGGTAGCTAAGTATGTTTGAGATGGAGTTCACTATAGAATACCAAATAAGAGAGAAATAAAAGAGCCTAAAATTATGTTGTTAATAACAAAGCAAGTCATAGGTTTCACGCTTAACATTGTGTCTGCCACTTAGAACAGGGGCCAAATATGGTATCGTTGAGTTTCTGTACTTGGTTGTACGAGCATAGATTATTTTATACTGATTTCTGGTTTTACTTGATGAGACACAAGGCGAGAGTTGGGAATAGAGGGGGTGTTGGGAGTCGGAGAGTATGGTTTTTGACTATTTTTCGCATGTATTCAGATGCCTATCAACTAAAGTAGTGACGAGGTGACTGAGTTTTACACCACTAGTCCTACTGACTACCTTCAACATCCTTCTCAGGATGGTATAGTCCTTTTTCAGTAGACCAGGAAAGAATAACGGGGAGCAGTAAAGTAGAATAGGTAAGATACAATAGTTGACAAATTGTGAAAGTAGAGGTTGGGTGATTCCAGATTGTCTAAGTTTCTTAATGTAGTAGGTAAGACAGAACACTTTCTTAGAAATTTTGTTTTCTTAGAAATATTTTTTTTCTTAAAGTAATTAATTCTAAAACTTTGACCTTGTTAGGATTTATATTTTTGGTAGTGTCAGCTGTAGGTTTCTTTACCAACACACGTTATTTTTGACATATAATAAATATATATATATGCTCCGCTTACACTATACATGAATTGGTGACAATGTGAAGTGCATGTTTCAAGAGAAAAGCAAATCTAAGTGAAACCAAATGTTAAGCAGCTTGTTTTTCTTCTTATAATCAGTAGTCATTTTGTATTGTTCTGTATTGTTGTATAGTGAAAAAAAATAAATAAACTAAATGATCATCTATTTTTTTCTTCTCTGGTTTGGTTATCTCTCTGCGTTTTCCTCCTCCCTCCCATTCTCTTTGGTCAATATTTAGTGTATAGAAATGACTGCCTTTCATATGTGCATGCATACCTATGCGTACTTATTGATTTGTAACACCGGCATTTAATGCCTAGCCTAATAAGACCGACTATTCAAGGTCATTATTAGCACTCCTGAATTAACACAGTTTTGTTCACCTGGGAAATAAGAATAAATATACTAGGATACATGTGGAAAAAGGTATCATCAATATCTTGTGGTTGAATAATTTAACGATTCTGTTACATATCATGGTATTTTTTTCATACAGTATTCTTACTGTTGCCACATAATTATCCTCCTATTTTCAGGAATCGATTTGTAGTTCAGTGTAAATACTTTTGTAAATAGTTCCCCCCCCCCCCCAGGGAGGGGGGACAAAAAATACAGAACAAAATACAGAATACGCTTATAGCAGATTTTGTAATGAATTCATGTCAGTGCGAGTCTATGTTTTTTCGGCTTTCCACTAAATACCACCATGTATATCTGGCACATTAGGCTTATAAGTTGGGTCTTTTCTTTCTCTTATCTGTACATTCCTCTAAAAAGTTACTGTTTCAAATCATCTTTGTCAGCTTATATAATTACTCAGGCGTTACAAGGGTGGTTTATGAAATCGGGATTATACTTATTTACTTTTCTTATCACAAGCTGTTCAGTGCTGACTACTCTCTAAAAGCTTTTAAGTGAAGACTTACTGAAAAGATTAAAATAACTTTTTATTTTTCAATTCTAATCTAGCAATTTCAACATTCCCTCGGTGTGTTCAGAATAGAAAAGAGAAATTTTAGGCAAACAATTCGTTTTCAATAACTTCTTCTTTAGACTATACAGTGTTATAAATTCATGAACACTTGAATACAATTGCCAGTATGAGCGAATCAAAATTATATCAGGTTGGAATAATAAATAGTCCGTTGGTTAAGATTGTTAATTGAATGCAGTATACTAAACGAACAGTCATTGAAAACAGAAGATAAAATGTGAATAAATAATTAAGTCATCTGTTTTGGTTTATATAACATAATTTTCAAGGGTGAGTTGTATTCAGTGATGTGAGAAAAATATTGATACTACAAAAATATAAGCAAACAAATGTAGAGTGACAACAATGATAATGATTATATGATATAGCGGTCATGCAGTGAACTGCAGTCAACTAATGAAGACAAGATAAGCTGAGCGTTAGTTCAGGGAGTGAAAAATAAAAATGGTGCTTCAGATGAAGCTTCAAAGACATATCAGGTTTGGGTATTCCACTGATATAGCTGTGGGAGTCATCTTACTAGATGTAAACCAATAACTAGGGTTATTGTTACGCTTGTATTTTATGTGCCAAGGGTTACACGAACTGATCAGAAAAGCCCTAACATAAATCTAAGTAACAAATTTTAATTAATCATTACTGCACACGGATTTCCCATATTCTTAAATCTGTACACTGAGATTCATTTCATTGAAGAGGAACATTTTGTCCGATTGCATATAAAAGTAGTAAGTCAGTGTTAAACGATGCATCGTGTACGAAGAAATATCTTATGGTGTCACCTAAGCCCATTTAGTGAGTATGGGAATCTGTTCATAACTAAAAGGTTGAATTTTTCATTGATGAGCTTGCGATTTGTTTAAATTTTTCCCCTTTATTCTTTTATCTAGAACGGATCCATTAGTTACTGCAATAGCCCTATGGAGTTTATTGTTGACAAGACAAACTCAGTGGAATCGTCTCATTTACGTGGATGATGATACTTTTGTTCGAATCATCAATTACTTAAAAATAACCCAACAGTTTAGTTCGTATAATGGTGATGTCGCCGGTAGGACGGTTGTCGATGTTCGGCTATCTGGTAGTTGGAATATAACAAATGTTGTTGACAGACGATTTTCTCCAAGAATCGATAAAAACAAATGGCCCGACCCAATCGATCAAGAATGTCACCGTCGTGTACCATCAGCAGCTATGGTTATAATTGCATTACGTTCCACTGAACGTACTCTACCCAGTGGTGTTGGCGCAGATAAAGCTGAAGGCATCATTTCAGAGGCTGTTAGATTTCTTAGTCGACATATTCTAAATGTAGATGACTTGTTCTCACAAGTGATTGGCACATATGCCTTGCAAGTGGCCGTCGATGCAACATCTCAGCATAAAATACCACAGTAAGTGTTGTAAGTGGTCTTTTATTCACACATTTATAGTCGTATTTATTGGGCTATATTTGTACAAACAAAGAGGGGAAAGGGGTGGAAAATATCCTCAGATTTGGATTATGATTAGACTGTAATGTAATGCAATGTAATGTTAGTCCAGTAGTTAATTTGCACTCAGATTTTTCTCCTTTGTGACAATCATCTGAAAACGAAAAAATAAGTACTATTATACATTAAGTCAAAAATGCAAATGGGATTGCAGTCTTTCTGAAAGACTAAACGTCCACATCACATATGAATTTGAGCGAATATGTATATGTCCTTACAGTTCCCAAGAAGTTAGACTTGTTTTGGGAGAATCAGTAACATTAATCAGGTGCCTAAACTTTTCCAAAAGGTACTTGGTTTGTTTACGTTATATACTGATTGTAGGTTGACCAGTGAATGATATTCTCATTAGATGAATTGTTACAGGGTGAAATACGTACGTGATAGTTCTCGAATATGCAGTAAGAAAGGTGTACAAGTGCTGTCAGTTGATTACTTAAAATTTATGAGATATGCGTTCATAGTAAATGGATGCATTACTTGAATTCATAATGTATGGCTTTTAATTTTACAAATACAACGAAATGTGCTTAGATCACAAGGCGTAGTGATATTTCTAAGAAGTTCAAACAGTAAGCATTCATTCAGGTTTTTTCATTTGTTTTTGTGAGTCAACTGAACAGTTCCCCTAAGTAATGAATATTATAATTCAAACAAAGTCCTCTTTTAATGAATTTAAACAAAGCCATAGCACTAGGTAAGGCAGAATAGAACGGATCCATTTTTATTTTGTCGTTTCATTACGAACTGCTTGTAACCAGAATAATGAAGGTACATATTTTCATTACAGCTCAAACACAAATTAGCTAAATAAAAAATAAATAGTACGCACCGATGATTCTATCAGGGATCGAACCCAAGACTTTCGGGTTCCGTGGCTACCTCGTTGACCATTCAGCCACTGAGACAGAACCTTACGGCCCATGAATTCTAACTTCTATCAACTCGCAATTTTAGCATGACCGCCAACCAATGCCATCTGTGAGTATTTGCCCTTTAACTGATGTCAATGCGTAATCAAATAAATCAAATCCCTACAGACTAACACTTGGAAATTAATCTGGTGTTTACCAGTGATTGGCTAAAGGACGGCGTCACTTGCAGTTCTAATGAAAAGTTGTGACCGGTGGGGTCCACCAAGTCGGTCGTGAGGACAAATGCTCACTAATGATGTCGGTTGGCGGTTACGCTGAAATCGCGAATTGATAGAAGTTAGAATTCATGGGCCTTAAGGTTTTGTCTCAGTGGCTGAATGGTCAACGAACTCGCCACATAACCTGAAGGTCATAGGTTCGATCCCCGAATGGGGGATCAAGGGTCTCTGCTGTCGAAGATTCCCAAACTAGGACAAATCTTCTGCCCAGTACTTTCTGATTTTCAATGGTTCTCTAACTGATGTCAATCCATGTTCAAAATTCAAACCAATCAAATGTCTACAAGCTAACCATTATAAGTAATAAATGAATAAATAATATAACTAGCTTATAAATACTCTTAAGAGATTTTAAAGGATTGATTTTGTGCATCTTTGTGTGTTGGTATCATATTTTCAAGTTCTTCAAGAATCTAGATTTATCGTCTGGATTGTAGAAAAATAATTTGCAGAAAAAACAACTCACTGTAATTTGAGATTTTTCAGAAAAGCAATTTTTCTATGAAACCTAGATGAAATAAGGAGTTTTATTAATTGACCTACATTGTTAGCATGGGGATCCAGTGATCTTCAGCTTAAATGCACGTATCTTTAAAAACGCTCGCACTGTGTTGTGGCCTACTGGTTAAATAAAGTTTATCATCCCTGGTTTATTGTAACAGTATTGCCTATTGAATGTTTACTTCTTATTGAAAATTTTTAATTTATACTTTATTTAACAGCTAAACTGTTTACATATTTCACTTATGTAGATCCTTCGATGTATAATATGTTTGTTATCCCACCATTTTCTGCACAGAGCCTTGAAACGTATTGATGCTTTTCGCCAAAAAGGCGATTATGTATACTATGCTAATTATAGAATACCACCACCTAAATGGGAATTAGATCAGGCTGGTAGACGAATTGAAAATCCACGATTGGAAATGCCAAATGATGGTTATGGTGTTCTATGCTCAAGCATCTATTTCTTGCTAAAACATGAATTAGGTGAATGGTCATTTCGTTCGTCAGAAGCATTAGATATGGTCCATTGGTTAGCCAGTGAACGAAATCATGTCGCTGGATTCGCTAGTACATTTGTAAGCGTTTATTTTATCTAAATTTATCTTTAATTCATTTATTATTAAATAGTTTTAAATTTTTATTAATTCATTAGTCGTAATGTAGTGCTTTTGCTGAACTGAAGTTGAGCTGAAGACTAGGCAGACATCTTTCAGTTCATTAACTTAAAATCTTTTAGACAGCATTGAAAATGTGGCCTGGAGTCGAATGTTTCTTCAACATCTCTTTTTGATAATTACTTTCGTCATGAATATCGCCGACTTATGGCCTTTGCTTAACAAAAATCGGCGTTCAAGAAAGCATCAGCATTTAAATCTGTTCATTAATTTTGCTTCACTTAGTGGTTTAGCTGAACCCCCTGAGTTTGGGTGTGTGATATATAGATTGCATTTTCATTCTAAATAGTTGTTTTCCTATCAGATACTTTTCCGAATATCTGAGATCTTGTTTCCTCATTGGAAACTGTTAGTTTTCTGTATTGTTTTGTCGAAGTGTCCTGAAATCTTTCAGCTGAATTCCTAACACGATTAGGCATAAACCATATTTGACGATGGATATTTGAAGGAAATTAGAAATTTTCCTGTCTAGAGATTTTTGAGGGAAGAGGTTGAATCTAACACAGTGGTATGTCTACCCACTTTGTGATTTCGCTGGACTTAATTAACAAGAATCGGGCATCGTGGTGCAGCGGTTGAATGCTCACCGACCATTCATATGGTCCGGAGTTCAACCCTCGACCGACGCTCCCTTTTACCTCACTAAGCCAGTAATAAGACTGATAAAGTGGGAAGGTTGGACATGAGGCTAGCGACCCCATCCCGTAGAAGTAAATACCACTGCTACCGAAAATTCACTCCACTAGCTTGAAGACCTATGTCCCACTGGGAACGTAAAGGAAGGAAAAAATAATTCACAAGAATGACGAAGATACTATGAAACAACTAACGAATTATTAACAGGCCACTGTAGAGTAAATAAGCTAAATGTAAAATGTTCTCATTCATTTAGAACAAAAAAGAGAGTTTGTACACTCCAAGCAGTCAAATATCAACCAGTTTGCAAAACTGATTACTGGAACATTTAAGCAAAACATCAGGATTTCAAACTACCAGTTCTTACAATTTGTCATATATGTAGAAATATAAAGCACTTTCCACCTGATTTTTAACTTGTAATGTTAAACTACAATGCAGTCCAGTGAACGACATCGTCGTGTTACTTAGCCCAATGATTGCATTTCTCATCTGACTGGTGAATTTCAGTCAACCCTTAGGAATGGATCGATTATTGTTTCATGATCCATTCGATTATACAATAAGGTTTGCACAATCTTTATTCCTGATTATGTGCATCATAATCAAACCAGATGACTGTTTAAATGGTTAGTGTCGGACAAGTGAATTGAGAATTTTTGTTTAATTCAGGATGAATCTTTCTGCACTTCGACACTAGCTGGACATATATTGGAATATAAGAATCATTAGATACTTATTTATTTCCTCGTGTGTTGTGTGGTTGGTATAAGAATTAGGCAGCAGATACTTCCTACAGCAGCCATTATATTGAGGTTTGTAGACCAATACGCTTCCAATGGCTATAGTTATAAACATACACACTATTTCTCTAAATTCCTGCCAGGATCAGTTACAGAATGTGGCTTTTATTTACTCAGTCCAGTGTCGTTTTCACACGGTAAAATTCGACTTGATGGTGGAGTATGTGTCGGCAAAAACTTAGACTAAGTAAACGATTGCACAATTTAATTTTTTTATACGTACGTGGTGGCACTGATGTGATCACTGTGGAGTTTATGGATTTGAGGAGTTCCAAATATAATCCTAAATAGACTGTCCTTTATAACACATTTGAACCTATAATTCGGTACCGCTACTAATACATATTATTTATTGTGTAATTAACTCTTTGACTAATCGCTTGAAGAATCAGACAGAGTTCATTAACTACTGTGGAGATTGAATTCGTTGTGTCCTCTGAGCTGCTTCATTCAACTGTGAGGCTTTCATTGTCATTCTAAAGAACATCTTCAGCGCAAGCTTTAATATTGAGTGGACTTGTTTGAATTCTCAGGGACCATACCCTAATCAAAATCATCCATCTGAGCTACAAATCTTTTCTATTAGTATAGAGATTGTAACTAAATTTATTTTTTCTGTCTGACTCGCAGAACAGATTCATTCCTATATGCGTTAATAAAATGTATTTTATTTCCAAGAAAGTTTGATTTATGTTCAGTAATAATTTTTGTTTTTTTGTACAATAGGATTCATTGTTTGCGATGCATGCATTAAGGAAGTTTGCTTTAGCTGATACGAATCGTGCTCTATACCGAGTGGCTGTAGATGAGAAAATATCCTCCATGAATACTTGGGCGAATCGTATCTACATAGATACGCACAACTATTCAACTGTAACGCATACAACGGTAATACTATGAAAATTAGGCGATTTTTTATCGTACATGTGATAAATTTTATATGCAAAGGGTGGTGAAGAAGTCATCAGTTCGCTAGGTCTTAATAGGCCAAGGGAGGGATAATGGCTGTACGGACTTCTTTTGAATGCTTTAGGCTTTATTATTTGAATGCTTATCGCTTTAGCTTTGTGCAGTAGACAGATACGAAATCCATTTGGAAGATTCGATGGGATGCGATGAACTACATTGAAAGCTTTCATTTTCTCCACTTTGTTAATTACAATCAGAGTTTATACATATCTCTTTTAGACATAACTAACGTCTTTATTATATGTGAATACAGTCGGTAGTCTGTGTCCATCTTGACAATTTAAATTTGTAAAAAAGAATAAAGCTTACTGTTACGAATTGTAACTGAATGTGGACTGTCAGTTTAAGTTTCGTCCTTGTTAATTAGATGATGAAAACTTCTTTTCATTTGAGATTCCGTATCTTGTTTTAAAAATAATTTCAACAAGTAATAAAAGTGGGTTGCACGAATAAAGCATTTACAAATAATCTAGAAATCACGCTCTAGAGGTTGATATTTTTGACAATTGAGTAATTTCCAGACTTATCAACCATAAGTATCAACCAGTTTTCCGATTAAAATCGCCAAAATCATTAATTAGTAGAAGTTGAAATTTATGGGCCTGTGGATTGGGTCCCGGTGGCTGAATGGTACACGAGCTTGCCTTGTAACCGGAAGATCCTGGGCTCGAACTCCGGTGGGCACGTACTGTTGAAGAGTCCCAAACTAAGATGAAAGGGTTGTCAAGTACTTCTTGGTTTCCGGTGGTTCTCTAACTGACATTAATCAGTTATCAAACTTGATCATAGTATGTCATCTGTCCTATCAAATTAACAAACTGCATTACTGGATAACAAAAGTTACAATGCATTTACTTTCATTTAAGAATTCCAGTATGAATTCCAGAGTGATACAAACACGTGATTGTTGTTCCATTCCCTCACAGTAGAGACCTCACGTAATACAGATGTTTGATTCTGTTACTAACTGCTCGCTTTACCAGTGATAATTACAGTTCGAATTGCTTTCGTCAATTTTTAATTGTCGCTTATTTGCAACTATATTGTATCCCTTTTTAAATAATATGCAGTTGAATGCAAGTATATTCCTATTACATATGAACAGGTCCTTCTTTATTTGCTGAAGTGTTAACACGCGATAACTAGGCCTTCACAATATGGTTCAGTCTTACGCCTACTGTGAAATCCACCAACAGTATACAACTCTAGTAACAGCAGATACAGAAGAATTCGGATTAAATACATGCGACGATTCAAAGGAGATTTTACTGAATAATTACTGCTGGTCTGTATCTTCCTTATAAACTATTTATTAGAGTTGTATATTCCCAAACTGACTGGTAAATACCAGTTTCTTTACCCGAGGCACCACCATTATATTGAACATATTTTTCACTCTATGTATGACAGTTGCACATAATCAGACTTACTTGCAATGTCTCTGAGTTTGTTTGGTATTTACTCAGCCGAATGGCTTGATTGCCAGCTTTAAATTTTGTTTCTGGACAATATTTTCAACATTGACATTAATCTGAAGTGAGCTTTCGGAATTCTTCATGAAGAAATGTCCGTCTTTCCTGGTGGTATTCAGCGTTTCTGAAGCTAATACTTCAATGATTGTTGGATAAAACCAATCCATATGGGTTGCACTCAGTCTGGAACCGGGTTGACCTGAAAAAATCATTGTGAATGCAGTCATAAAACCTTACCTTGTGAAAGTTTTTCAACTCACTTAAATATAATTAAGTCAAACTTTGTTAGTGATTCAATTTTTTACACACAATTTCTCCCTTGTAACAGTTTCCACCAGAAGACGTTTGGGGTGATATTACAATGAAACTTGAAGGTACTGGCCGAATATTACTTCAGTTGGATGTAGAAGTGAATGTAGAATATAAAGAAATGCAAAAGATGCCAAGGAATCCGTTAGACACAGAACAAGTTATGCGTAGTTTTGAAATTGAGTGTACACCAGGTTTCCTTAGTCGTAACAACTCAATCATGATTATGACAGCATGTGGACGATGGGTTGGTACAACAGTGAGTTTATAATTTCATAAATATGTATCTGTATTTTTCAAATGGATAGTATGCATGTTTTTGATCCAATCAAAAGGAGCTTTTTGATGTTTAATGCAACTAATAACTGTATTTCAAGTATCTACATGTTTTATTTTAAAATTCCTAATTATGAAGAGAGCAAATGATACTCGATAGACTTCGCAGTCGTATTTACATCTGGTAGAATATGTAACTGTCTATTACTGATTAATAAGGAGGATGATTGACATCATTCATGCAGTGATCCAGAATTAGTTTCCAGTGTTAGGGAAAACAAAATTGCGTAATAATGAAGAGAATGGAAGTCAGGTTTTTCATTCTGACAAGGTGAACATTGTTATTTGATAAGAAGTCAGTTGTTTAAGTATCCGCTTAGTTAGTATAAAAAAGAAACCAAAAATCAGAAAGTGAACACAATAAGTTTGATTATAGTGAATTATTTCCCAGAAAGAGAGGCAGTTTAAGGTTATGCTAGAATGAGTACTTGAAACACACTATCTCCGCATACAGAGTTTGGAATAAAATACACACACAGAACAGTTTTATTTTGATTGATGGTGATTAGCAGAAGAATGCAGAATGCGCATTTCGTTCTACTTGGGACTTGTTATCTGGATGTGCCTGCAATCCCCAGTGAGTGGTGATGATTGCACTGAAATTCGAAACCAACACCCACCATTTCAGACAACAAAGCATTATTCACTAGACCGTAATAGCCATTTGTTTTGCAACCAGTATCACTTAATAATGCATATTAACTTAAAAGAATCCCTTAACTGAAGTTATTAGTCTTATACAATTGTCTTTCTTCATTTACAAAGGGTGTTGAGCCATTGCCTCAAAGTGGAATGGCTGTGTTTGAAATTGGATTGCCCACAGGATTTGTTGTTCTAAATGATGACCTAAGAAGATATGTCAATAGCCTTATGGTTCCAAATCTACGCTATGCACGTGCGCGTTCTAGATCTGTACACTTTTTCTTTGATACAGTAAGTGTTGACTAATGAAGTGAATCATAATTATTAAAAAAACTGTTTCTTTTTACCCATACAATTTTCGGCTCTATTTATGCATAAACCAATCGTTGTGGTGAATGACTAATTGTCATATGTGCGTCAGTTGGTTTGTCTTGTTTTATCATATCAAAAGTACACACACATAAGCTGTTTGGTTTACAAACAATTTCTTCATTTGCTTGAACACAAAACACCTCAAGCAGATAAGAGACTAACATTATTTAGAAACCAACAACAAGACTGAATGGTGTTCATAGAATAAAACACCCAGTTTCATCCATGAAACTAGTGACATTTAAGATATATATATATATACCAATCATCTTGGTTACTACTTCATTTTAGTAACTCATCATCTTTAGACTATAAGTTCCTTAGGGATTTGGACCAGTTTCAATGTAGATTTCGTTACGAAACAACACGAGTTTAAGAGACACTGGAAACCAAGGAGCAATGGAACATTGTCCCCAAGGGAAATCGTCCCTTTTACTTACCTGAGTAGCATCATTATAACTACAGGTGACACAAATGCTGATGTTAAAGTCAGTCAGGATAGGATCGAGAAAACTAGATAGACGTTCATTATTTTAAAATCAGTGTGGAGATCTACAGCAACTAGTACAAGGAACAAAATCCGAATTTCTAGTGTAAATCTTAAGTCGGTACTTCTGTCTGGCGTCGATATTTCTCACGCACATCATAAAAATAGTTTCTAACAGCGTACTGTAAACCTACCTTAATTGACTCGATACTGAAGAACAGGTGGCTGACCAGGGAGGATAAATAACAAGGAACTCTGGCAGCGAATCAGGAAACAACCTATTACCCAACAAATATATGCAGAAGGAAGTGCCATTACACTCCAGACAGACCCCTTAATGGACACGAAATTGAAATAGACTGGTTGGGCGTGAGGTTGACACTGACACGAAAGAGATCATGTGAGGGGAGAATTTAAGGTTGTGAGCGGTCATTAAATCGATTAAAAGTGGAAAGAAGTTGTGCAGCTGAAGCACTTTGTTCTACTCAAAACTCAAGGAACAAATAATAATATATTATAACGGCCTACTCCACCTTGGAATAAATTCATCTGATAAAATCACACTGTGTGATACAGTATTATTTTCTGTATAACACTGTGATTCTACCAAATAAGTTTACTCAAAGACTGAATTATGCACTAACACAGTGCCAAAGTTTTATTTTTATATCGATGAAGCCTTCTTAGTTTTAAATCTCTGATTATTTTGTATATTTTAAATAATTTTCTTTCTGTTTTGTATGAATTTAATTTACAATTGAAGGTGTGGTAAGTTTGTTCGATGTGTATTGCTCAAATGCATACATTTTCGACGTAGGCATCAGCTTTCCATTACGTTACCCAGATTACAATAGTGACTTAAAAATCCCGAACTGTTAATTATCATTATACATCAGATCATTCAGTCCCTCGTCAATACTAAGCAAAAGTAGTAAAATCACCAGTATTGAGGGAGCAATAACTCCAGGTTGGTCTTACTAAAATCATGTAAAGTCCATTCATGTGCATGTAAAAATCTCTGAACAGCGCACCACATTTCTAACCATTTAAGTCACTCAACCCAGTTCTGTTATACTGGCTATTAGATCTGCAGGTTTTAATTTCGCTCCTAAAGAGAATAGTTAATCTATACTTCAGAGAACTGGCAGGAAGGAGGGGAGAATGTATTCTGGTTCTCTGTGGTTAACATCTTTTATCGACGAAAGCTACCTTTAATTTTTTCAACTTAAATTCCCAGTATGTTAACTGATGAAAAGTATGTTTTCCCCACTTAAAATATAGACCAACAAACTTCTGGGAACGATGAGTTATGTACAATTTTATTGCGTGCGTAAAGGCTTACGAATCCTTTTGAAGTTTCATATATCCATTTGTGTTAGTAAATATTAGCCACGGTCAAACCATTTGAGTCATTTTGTCTATTGCTTTGTCTTTACTCACAGATTACACCCAATAAAACATGCGTACAATTCACAGCTGAACGTTATTACCCTGTTGCTAACATTACTCAACAACATGTATGTTCAGCTTATGAATACTATGAGCCAGGTGGGTTACTTATCGTCTACTACTTTTGGAACTTGTTAGAAACTATTTTTTAAACATATATTATGTTATATTTTATCAGCGAATTCGAAAATTTCTTCGATAGCTTAGGCTGTGAACTGATTTGGAAACTACTTCAACACTGAGAACTGATGTGACTCAAACCTCAGTCATACTCATTCAGCAACCATATTAATAATGCCGTATGTCAAGTGATCCACAGTGGACAACCCAGTGAAGCGTCTGAAGTAAAGACAAGGCTACCTACTATCACCTATGGTATTCCTGATTAAGTTGGACTAGATCATGTGGCCGACCGTGGGGAGCGAGAGGACAGGAATACGTTGAACTGATAAGAAGACTCTAGGAAATCTAAACTTCGTGGATGACTTACATCTCATGATTCGCATAGTCAAAGATTTAAGAGCGAAATTCGACAAGCTGGTAGAGGAGGCAGCGAAGACACGACTCCGAGTGAACATAGAGAAGACACAGGTAATAAAGATACCCAACCATCCAACCAACAACAGCAACAACAACAACGACGACAACAACAATCACCAATCACCATCAACGGAAGAGACCTGAAGGAAGTTGTCTCTTTCACTTGCCTCAGCAGCATCAATTCACTTGTAGGCGATACGGATTACTAAATAGAATAACATTGTATAGGCTATGTGGAATTCTGTCATTTTTCTTGGATATGCAACACTAGAGGGATGAGTGGGTTTGAACTATGTACAACTGTGAAAACAACCGATTACGTTAACTCTAAAATTGGCAAATGACGCCTCATATTGACTCCCAATTACTGCCACCCATTATGCAATTTTATCTAATAACTATTTTGAACATTGTACTGATTTTATTCAGAATGTTGTTTCCCAACTGTACCCTTTCCGTTATACCTCAATTAAACTTGTTCCAGAATTGAATTCTGTTGACTAGGAGTAGAAAGCATCCTGTGATTCAAAATACTTTTTGTAATTAGACAGAATTAAAAGAAGTACAGCACTGGTTTTGGCCAAAGTGGAGTAGTGATTTTGGTATGCACTCGTCTGTACTTAGTAAGATAATGATGATTTCAGCATCTGTGCTTTCAAACATCAGAGCGTTATCTACTTGACCACGACAGCTACACTTTGTCTACTAATCAGCATGGATTTCACAGGGTACGGCAAAGTAATAATAAGAATTAGTTATGCCGAATACACTTTGAATTATCACACTTGTCCCGAATTGTGTGTGCCATTGAGCTTCTAGTGAATTTTGCTTCTTTTAGACATAAACATACGACAATGCATTTATTTAGTAGAGTAGCAGCTCATCTCTATTTTTTTTTCAATGCTGTTGTAGTTGACGTTAGGTATGATTACTAACTAAATCATGATTAGGGATGAAACATAGAGTATATTATTGAATATCACATAAGTAAATTCCTTATCACGTCCACGCTTTGAAACTTACCTATTTCCGTGTGAGGAAAGATTTGTCCCAAAGAGTTGTGTTTCTCAGATGGTTAATTGACAATAAAAGAATAAACTGTGGAGTAGTGAACATTATTTTTTGAACTAAACAACCAATGAGTGAAGTTGTTCTTCTCAAAAACACCTGCATACCACACCCTTCGATAAATCAAATGACATCTGTGTACTTTAGCCTTTATTTATCGGTCCTATTTACACAAAATTACCAAAGAGTGTGATTTACTGCCTACAGATATTCCCCTGACTGACACTGATGTTTATCGTAAGATATGTGGTCATCTTTGATTATTTTAAAACTTTGAGTGATTATTTACTATCTATTTTAATGCTTTCTGTTTGTCATTCAGGTCGTTACAACAATTCACTCTACAACGTTGTCTCGTTGTATACTAACAGTATTTGCAATGTGTGCGGTAGTTTCGCTTGTCCATATTGTCCTGATTACAATTTATCAAGGAAACGTGTTCAAGCATCAGTATCTGTTCTTTGTTCAATATTATTCATGAGATGGATAATTTATAAATTATTCCTTATTTCCAATTGTTTTACCTGATGACACATTATGCACAAAAACAAACAACTAAAACTTAGGTGTATTTCTAATTGATATCATCGATCACTTTATTGATTATATATATATATATATATATGGAAAGCGTTTATCTTTTTGTTTTTATGTCCAAAACAATTGTACATGGATGCGTAAACCAATCATCATATTCAAAACGACAGCACTCTTAGTGATGCACAGCACACCTTTGCAATTATACCTAAGGATGCACATGTGTACCATAAACACTCAGATATTGATTACAGGTGTGGTGAATATACCCATTATTTCCCTTCTTTTTTGTAGAAAACTTATGATTCTCTTGTTCTGCTTGCTATTTTGGATATACACTTTTCTATCTCTCTGATTGATTTTCTCTCTTTGTAATTTGTCGTATACGTGTGTAATTTTAGGATTATTGTGATCTTCCTATTTATCATAAACACACCCTGACTTATTATTTTCTAACTATACACAATAATTAATTTAGGAATATGTTCTTTTTTTTGTAAACGTGTGAAACTCTGCATTTTTGTACTGAGAACATTTATTTGCTTATTGTTTTGTATAAATAATGAAAACACGCATAATTTAGTCTAAAAATGTAAATTTTCGTTTTTAATGCAAAACACACCTTTCAGTAGCTTTGTCTAAGCCAGAATCGGTTCAAAGGAAAGGTGAGAGAGAACTTTGATGAGGGTTATGAGGTTTTGTAATTGTTAAGTCTCTGCAAATATTCAGAGATGAATGATGACGAAATGAAATCTTTATTCTCTATTCATTTTAATGAATCATTTCCAAGAAAAGCTTTACAATCGTATTTATATTCAACAGAGAATTCAGCAAAACTAATCTAATTTTAGTATGGCTATATTCTAGGGAATATTCCACGTAATGCGGGGAATAATCTAGTAAAAGAAGTGCAGAGTTCCAGAGTGGCACGATCAATGTGAATAAACCAATTTTGCAAACGATGGTGGAAATACAATAGCTGTTTAAATGAAAAATGAAATGATATTAATTTATTATTATTATTGTTCCCTTGGGTTCCTAGTGGAACATAGGGTTTCAACTACACGTCTCCACTTGCTTCTGTCTTCTGCTGTACTTTTCACCTGCGTCCATATTAATCCATACTGTTTCAATTCCTCTTCGCACGATCTCCTCCATGTCACCCTTGGACGTCTCACTCGCCGCTTCCCTTTCGGGTTCCACTCGAGAGCCTGACGCGAGATGTCACCCAACGGCCTCCTCAGCGAGTGTCCAATCCATCACCACTTTCCCCTGCATATTTGTCGGGCGATTGGTTCTTGTTTTGTTTGTTCCCATAGTTTCTTGTGCGTGATTATTTCCGGCCATCTGATCTTCAGTATAGAACGAAGACAGCTGTTGATAAATGTCTGCAGCCTGTTGGAAATATTCTTTGTGACCCGTCAAGTTTCTGATCCGTATAGAACAACTGACTTGACGTTTGTATTGAAAATCCGAATCACTTTGTTGTTGATGCTGAGTGACGAAGATTTCCAGATTGGTTTCAGGTTGATGAATGTGTTTCTCGCCTTCCCGATTCTCGATTTGACATCCTCGTCCGTTCCTCCTGTAGTTGAGATAATGCTCCCTAGATAAGTGAATGAAGTAACCTCCTTCAAATCCCTCCCGTTGATGGTGAGTGGCGCTGGATGTTGATGTTTTTGTTGTTGTTGGTTGGTTATTTTCATAACCTCCGTCTTGTCTATGTTCACCTGGAGTCAGTCCTGTCTTTGCTGCTTCTTCCACCAGTTTGTCGATTTTCGCTTGTAAGTCTTCGATTTTGTGTGACATCAAACATAAATCATCCGCGAAATCCAGGTCTTCTAGGTTCTTCACATCGGTTCAGGATATCCCTGTCTTCTCATTTCCCATTGTCTGACGCATAATCCAGTCCACCACAATTAGGGATATCATTGGTGATAGTAAACACCCTTGTCTACCTCCTGTGTTTACTCCAGACGCCTCGCTGAGTTTTCCGTTGTGGATCACTTGACATGTGCTGCTGTCGTACAGCTGTTGAATAAGGTTGATGAATATTTGGGGTACGCCGTAGTACTCGAGTAGTTTCCAAATTACTTCGCGGTCAACCCTATCGAAGGCCTTCTCAAAGTCTATAAAGTTGAGGTAGAGGTTTGATTGCCATTCCATGCTTTGTTCGATGATGGTGCGTAGAGACATGATATCAATAAATCGTCATAAAAATGATGTTTATGACAATAATAATAATAATGATAGACTGAAGATCGAACAACTGGTGATATAGCGGTTAGGACGCACGCCAACTATGTACATGGTCCGAGGTTCGATTCCTGGCCGGTGCACTCCTAGCCACTAGCTTGAAGCCCTATGTTCCACTGGGGAACGCGAAGGAAAAAGAAGAAGATCTAACAATGAAATGAAATTATGGCAAGAATGTTATCCTGGTCAAGTTAGGTGACTAAATAGTTGTTTCATTTTTGAACACAGATATCTGAATTTAGGTCTCGTATGGCCAGTAATTCGGTTGTGTATAAACTGCGTATTCGAATTCCTTTAGTCTGATATTTGAGAAATCTGAGGGCGCCCAACGTCAAGAATTGACAAGATGTCAATATTCTTCATTTCTCCTTCAGTTAACCAGTCTAGATGGCAAAACAAATAATGTCTATGAACTTGATTTTGTCTACGGCCGATAGTGCGTCGGTGGCACAGTGCTTAGGACTCTCGCCGACCATGCACATGGTCCGAGGTTCGAGCCCCTGCCGGCGCACACCCGGCATCTATGGTCGGCCTGCAAAATTTGGGCTACCGATATCCATGCTGAAAATGCCATACTTGTACTGAAAATACGGTGTGGCATCAAGCTGTAACCAAAATAAAAAATAAATAATACTTTGCTCTACAGAAATAAATAAATTGATAAATGCACACTGAGACGATAAAAAGTATCTTGTCCTTAACATGTAACTGGATTAATTGTGCCTTCCCGAATGAGATTCTCAAGATGGTGACGTGGATCGCCTTTTTTTCAGACACCGGAAGGTGGTTATTAAGAATTTCGGTTCCAATGTCACCTTTGAACTTAAGGTCCATCAAGATAGTTTCGTTAGGAAAAGTTGTGACCTTCAGCGACGGCAGTTCTCCTCTTATATTTCGGTCAATTAATCTGAATAGATTTCCATTCTATAGTAGGGTATCTACCACTCTGCACTGTAATTTAGAATCCTTGAACATAATGAACTTACTAGGTTCCCCTTTCTGAACTGCTCATTATATATTGGTTTTTGGTAGATGGAACTGTCTGGTCTTCTGGGATGTAACACGTCCTGGACTGGAAAATGTACTTTTGATTCTCACTCAAGAGTGAATTTCACAGCTGTTACGTCTTCATTTTATAATTCAATGTGATAATTTTCCGTTCATATTCCTTGTTCTTCTTTAAATTCACTATGACATAACTGCTGAATACCACTGCCACTACATTGTATGCGGATCGAATCGCAGTACTACTCATCATAATCGTCATCAAACAGAGCATAGAACAGCAATCAACCGCTTACCTCACCTTCACAGACTTTGAAAATAGCCACAAACCTCAATCAGCCTTATTTAATAGTTATAGGATGATACTGCGTAGCAGTCGAATCACAACGAAAAACTCGGAGAAAGATTCTAAGTGAAGACCAGTAGAACAAGACTACCTATTATCAGCGATGACATTTCTAATTGTTGTGGACTGGGTCATACAGCAGACTATAGGCAGAGAGAAGACAGGAATACGTTGGACTGACATAAACAGCTTGACTTTGTGGACGATTATTCCGAAGAGTCAGGCACCGAAGACTGGACTTCGAAGGAACATGGAAAAGACAAAGGTGATGAAGATACCTAACCGAATAACTAGCTATCAACGCGAAAAACCTAAAGGAAGTTATCTTTTCCACCTGCCACAACAGCACTGTTTCAAATACAAGTGGCACGGATGCGGATATCAAAGCCAGAATTAGGAAGGCAAGAGAGACCTTCAATAATCCGAAGTCAGTGTGAAAATCTGCTGGACTCAGCATAAGGAATAGGATTGCGATCTTCAACACTGATGTGAAGTCAGTTCTTCTATACTTGTCAAAGGATGCTGTGTCACAGAAGGCATCTTCAACAGTCTGGAGACTTTTATCTACAGTCGTCTTTGCTCCATAGTGAAGGTCAGATGGCCAGAAAAGATAAGAAACCAAGAACATATTAACCAACAAATATACCAAAGAAAATGGAGATAGACTCACCACACACTTGAGGAGACCGTTGAGTGATACACCGATCCAGACTCTCGGATGGAACCCGAATGAGAAGCGACAAGTTGGGCCTTCTGGATCAAATCATCTGACAAAGAGATGAGAGCTTACGAGCAGTCATGCAGCTAGCTAAAGACGACTGCAAAAAACATGACGGAATGGGGATGTGCTGTTGAAGCCCTATTTTCCACTCGGAACCTGGCAGAATAATAAATAATGATAAATATTTCGTGTGTTGAATAAGTCTCAAAGCAGATTTTTTCATAAACCAGCACAACTTTGAAAACTGCCGAAAATCGAGGACCCCTGGAAAGTTACGTTACACTAGTTTGAGACTGTCAATTAATGTGTTCCCACGACCACACCATGGGTCGAATCCACGTACCTAAAGTTACGAAACAAGTAAACCATGTCTAACATCTTGGAAGTCCATGAATTATAGCTTTCGTTAATTTACAGAAGTACCCACAATTTAAGAAAAACTTGTTAATCTGCCATTCATATTCTTTTATTGATTAAGTCTGTAAATGTGATTGAAGCACAGAGAAAATTCTATTACTTGCAACAGATCTGAATCAGAAAACCTGAATCACTTGTGAGTGCTAGTCATGTTTTATCGATCTAACTACTATCAGTTCGTATGTTTTCTCCATTTCAAAAGCACTCATCATAACTATCGAGAACGTGTTGTACATCTAATCCTTCACAGTTAGACTGATATCAAAATAGGCGTGAAGATTGTCAGAATTTGAAGCATCCACTCTGGCTTTTGATATGCAGCTAGTGATATCACCCACTCCACCTCTATTATTCATTACAAACCTTTCAGGCTTATGGACATTTTGGCTATCTCCAGTGTTTGCATACGTAATGTAGTGTCAGATTTGTAGGAGCACGGTATACTAAGATAGTATGTGAATAGGTTATACTTCCACGACTAAACTTCCGACTAATCAGGGGTGCTTCGATTAGCCTGAATGTTTTTGCAAAGTAGTATACTGTATACTTAATTTAGAGATGTCTCTTTACTAATACATATCCTCCACCATCATGGACATCACTACACACAATCACTGCCTGGCATAATATCCAGGCTGATGTAGATAAAGTGGTAAAAGCTGTCGATAACCTGGAACCAAAGGTAAGGAGATGCCAGTGGATTTCTGCTACTTCATCCGAACTGGTGGACTCCAAAAGACTGATTCCCATGGGCTCCGAATGTCACGGGGGGCGAAAGCTGCTGAAACGAAGATTAACAAGAGGTCTTCGTAAGGTCTGTGAACATCAGTGGGCGACAAA